TGCAGCTGAAGGAGGCCAAGCACATTGCCGAGGACTCAGATCGCAAATATGAAGAGGTGATAGCCCTGTCCCACTTCCTTCCCACTCCCAGGCCTTAGAGCCTCAGTCATCACCACTCTCCTCTCTTCCCCTTCCCCTCAGGTGGCCAGGAAACTAGTGATCCTAGAGGGAGAGCTGGAGCGCTCAGAAGAAAGAGCTGAGGTGGCCGAGAGGTAAGGACCTCCTGGGGTGGCTGGGTAGAACTCAGTCAGTGGCTGGAGATGTCTTGCATGGAGGCAGGCAGTTTCCAAGGCCTGGGGCTACAGGGACAGGTCCTGTCATCTGACCTCTGCCCGCTGCCCCTAGCCGAGCCAGGCAGCTGGAGGAGGAACTTCGAACCATGGACCAGGCCCTCAAGTCCCTGATGGCCTCAGAGGAGGAGGTAGTAACCTCTCCGGGCATTGGCACCTTCTCTCAGCTCAACTGCGCCCTCCATTTCAGCATCTCAGGCTGCTCTCTGTCACCTGCCAGGGGTCGGGCCGGGCCTGGGTCTTTTGAACTCTGCCTGCTGTCACGCTTATCACTTTGCTCTTCTCTTCTTTCCTCCACCCCTCCCCCACTGTGCCATCCCCACTGTCTCTCCTCACTGTGTCCTCACACCCCACCCTGCCACACACCCCTGCAGTAAATGTGGGGACCTAGAGGAGGAGCTGAAAATTGTTACCAACAACTTGAAATCCCTGGAGGCCCAAGCAGACAAGGTAGAGGGCAGTGAGGATGGGGTCCTGCAGGGGAGGGAGGTGAGGAACAGGCAGGGAGGGCTGGGTCCTCCATGGAGGCAAGATCAGGTGGCTCAAGGGGCCCAGTGGAGAAGCAAAGGATTCAATCAGATTTACTGATGGTGTGTATATGTTCCCAAAAGTATTCCACCAAAGAGGACAAATATGAAGAGGAGATCAAACTGCTAGAGGAAAAGCTGAAGGAGGTAAGAGCTGTCTTCCAATTCCTAGTCTCCCCCAAAACTACCTTTGTCCCCGCCAGATGGTGGCAGGGAATTGGGGGATTGGCATGGAAGGGAAGGGGATTTCACTGAGGTTCACTGGGTGGGCCTAATACTTCCCATCTCCCATATCACTTCTGTTCCCAGGCTGAGACCCGAGCAGAGTTTGCCGAAAGATCTGTGGCAAAGTTAGAGAAAACCATTGATGACCTGGAAGGTAAAGAGTGCCCCTCCACTGCCTGTCACTGTCAGCCTGTCTCTTACTTTCACATCTCAGAGTACTACCACTGTTAAACTAGAGGTGGAGCACCCAGAACTCCACAGACTCTGGTGGGCTGTTCCTGCAGTTCAAGGAGTTGGCATAGGCCACCGCATGTCAACTCCAGTGTATCTCAGACCTCAGAAGGCAGGAGAATCACCGAGTTTTAAGAACAGATTCCTTGGGGATTGAGGTATAGCTCATTGGTATAGTGCATGAGGTTCTGGGTTTAAAAAAAAAATCCTGGGCCTGGAGAGATAGCTCAGTGGTATAAGCACCTGCCTGGCAAGTACAGGGTCCTGAATTCAATCCCCAGTACTGAAGAAAAAAAAAAAAAAAAATCCCAGCTTCCTGGGTTCTACCCCAGCTTCTGGGTTCTACCCCAGCTTCCTGGGTTCTACCCCAGCATGGTTACTCACCTGGGGGCATGGAATTCATATTTTTCCCCAGCCCCTGATAATGCTGATGATGCTGGCCTTCAGACTAGCACTTTATGTAGCACTGACCTAACAAAAGCTGTCTCTAAGTGCAACACACCAGAATTATCGCAGAGACTTCTTTATTGAATAGTTACTCTGTTTTATGTCTGGGATTGTGTGACAACATTAATGGGAGATAACACGCTCAGCTACATCCGGATACTTGCCTGTCTGATCATTTGTATTATCAACAACACTGTGGTACCTAAAGTCACCTTTACTTTTCACGCTGATAATGCTTTAACTCTCATGATTTCCACACCTCCTGCTCCTGGCTGTCTGGCAAGTACTAAGTTTATTTCCAACCTCAGGACTTTAGACCTTTGTGGTCAAGTACCCTCCCTTCCTCTCCCACTTAAGCAAGCACACCTGCCTGCCTGGAGCACTGTGCCTGCAGGATTTGGGGAGAAGCATACACTAAGGGGCAAAAAAATTGAGGAACAGAGAGAGAAAGAGAAAAGAGGTGGGGCAGAGAAAGGGAAGAAGGGACATGACAGCTGGTGGCCTGTTCTCTGACCTTTTTCACTCTGTCCACCTTACTGTGATTCTTTCTCTCTCTCCATCACCCTTTCCTCCTCCTCTCCTGTCCTGTTTCCCTCCATTCCCTCTTCCCATACTCCCACTGGGTCACCCCCTTGGCCGCTCCAGATGAAGTCTATGCACAGAAGATGAAGTACAAGGCCATCAGTGAGGAGTTGGACAACGCACTCAATGATATCACCTCCCTCTGAGCCCGCACCAGCGTGGCCACCTCTCATCTCTTCCCCTCTTTCCATTCTCTCTGGGAAAGGGGTAGGCAGGAGGAGCAAGAACTGCAGCATTGCACAGCCAGCCTGGGCGCAGCCTAGGGAGAGCTTCCATCACTCCCACCACCCGCGCTGGCACTGCTTCATCCTTCTCTCTACCCACCGCCCCATCCACCCACTGCCCTCCACCTGCTTAATAAACTCTGAACTTGGTCTCCATGCTGTTTTCCTACCCTCCAGAGAGCACTTCATCACTGCTGCAGAACACTGGTTCATTCCTGAGGCCTTGGCTCTTTCTGATGTCCCACATCTTGCAACATTCACGCCCCTGCACCCAGTACCCCACAACACACCAGCACACACTGGCACCACTATGCATGGCACTCCTAGTCTGTTGCTGTCTGACTCACTGCTGCATGTGGGCATGTGTGACCCTGTCTTGTGCCTGTCAATTGGAGCACCTAGCAGGGGTCTGCTGGAAGGGAATGGAAAGGGGAAGCACAGGGAGGAACAAGAATGTTAGGAAGGTCCAGAAGTTTTGAAAAGTATTGATGTCAGCAACAGGGCCTTTCGCCGATGCTACAGGTCTGTTTTCTGTCTCAGTTCTGTCTGGTCTTACCTTTCCTGGATCAGCTTTTTGTCTTTCCTTCTGTTTTCAACTTTTCTCAAACTGAAGGAGGGGGGTAAATTGCTTCATGGTATAGGCCTCCCCACCCTGCCTGCATGACCCCAAGGCGGTAAGGGAGCCATCTGTCTGTGTTTGTCCTGGTCTATTCATTTGCCACTGCCATACTGCCTCAGGTCCCTGAAGGCCTGTCTTTCTGTGCCTCCTAACCCTTTCCTTATCTGTCACCTTCTTCTGTCCATGCCTTCTTGTGTGTTTCCCTTATGTCCCCCATTCCTGTGTTCCTTTTTCCTGTTTCCCCTCCCCATCCTCACCTGCTGCTTCCCCTCACAGAGACCTTGGCCAGTGCCAAGGAGGAGAATGTGGAGATTCACCAGACCCTGGACCAGACTCTGCTGGAGCTCAACAACCTGTGAGGGCTGACTCTGCCCCCAGCCAGGGTATAGTTGCTGCCCAAACCCAATAAAGCTGATGTTACATCCGAGGGCCCTGTAAGCCTTTCTTTGGTTGCCAGCAGAATTGGAAGGACCACTTCTGTGATGGGACAGCTAGTGAAACCCATGGGGTGGGGCCACTGGGCTCAGAAGTGAGTCCAAACAGGCTGTGTGAAGCAGAGGAGCCCAACAGGGCAAATGTTCTGGCTGTTGGTCTCCGTAAGGCACTGCCGTCTGCAACATTGCCCTATTCTAACAGGCAGCTGGGCTAGACTTTATGTTAAAAGCAAAACTGCAAGAGACAGGTTTTCCTCCAAAAGGCTGAAAGTCCCAAAGCCTTAGTGTGATTTTAAACCAAGGAGCCGTAGCCCTCCCAACTATCACACACACACAAAGCCCTTGTAACAATAGCAGTCATACCTGCCCTTTTCTAGAAAATCCGTGGTGGGCAGAATAATAGCTGTCCTTCAAAAATGTCCCTGTTCTAATCCTGAGATGTAAGCTTAGAAAGTGCAAGGGATGTTGTGACTGCCAAGCAGCAGAGTTGGGAGATTTTCCTCTGTTGCTGGTGGGCCTTACAAACAGGAGGCCAGAAGACTGAAGGTGAGGAGATGTAAACAGAAGCAAGGCTGCACTGGCGAGAAAGGGGCTGTGAATGCAGGTGGATCTCAGATCTGCAAAAGGCGAGGAAGTACTGTGCCACGAGACAGTCCAGACAGCTCTACTGACAAAACTCTTCACATCAAGTTCATTTTAGCGCTGTGTCTGCATTTCCACTAAGCCTTGACTTGTTACAGTTACAACAGGTTGGCAACCACCCTGGGCAAAAGGCTGCTGGTTAGGGAGGAGGATGTTATGAGGTTTCTGGTTAAAATGTAACCATCTTTTTTTTAAAAAAAAAAAAAATTATTTGTTTGATACAGGATCTTGCTAAGCATCTCAGACTCATAGTGATCCTCCTGCCTCAATCTCCCCAGTGCTTGTGGGCCACCACACCCGGTATCCGGGGCAGGCAGGGCATGCAGTACTGGGGATCAAACCTGGGTTTTTGCACTTACCAGGCAGGTGCTTAGACTGCTGAGCTAACTCCCCAACCCCAATGTAACCATTTTTCTGATTTGACAAACAAAAGAGACTTACACATACTTTACTAAAAATTTTTATTTGTTTGAGGACTGGAGATTAAACCCAAAGCCAAAAAAAAAACCAACCCCAAAGCCTTTGCACTGAGCAATATCCCAGTCCTTTAAAAATATTTTTTAGAACACAATTTTTTTTAGATAGGATCTTGCTAAGTTACCTGTGCTAGGCTCAAGCTTTTTTTTTTTTCAGTACCGGGATTGAACTCAAGACCCTATGCTTGCCAGGCAAACACTTATTCTACTGAGCTATCTCCGCAGCCCTCAAACTTTCAATCCTCACTCAGCATCCTGAGTGCTGGGATTACAGGCATATGCCACCACACCTTGTTTAGAAGTGTTTATTTAAAAAAACATCATGAGTTGAGTTCAGTCTTTCTCCCCTACTACAAGATCCTATTGGAGTGGTTTAAGAGAACAGAAACAAGATTACTTTGAAGGTTTCAGAGGAACTGTATAGTGGACAGCACAGGACAAAATTTCTGTGTCCCCTAAGATTCCATTCATTAGGTGGTTTCTTTGCACATTCGAGTTCTGAGTCGCTAAGCTCCAGTCTCCGCCATCTCAGCTGGGCTGTAGCTAACACCCTTTTTGGTTCCACTTCTGTGTCTATACAATAAGGAACTAGAATCAGAAAACTATCTTTGGTGATAGTATTTGCATGTAATATGCTTGACGCCTGGAGTTCTGAACTTCACACAAGGGGTGAGGGTGGGCTGTGCAGAGGGGAAGGGTCATATTACCTGTGCTGCCTCCTCATCTGCATGAGGAAGGCAATGCTGGTGGCAGCAAAGAGAAGGCCAAAAACTAGGGCCAAGATGTCCCCTGGGAGGGAAAGAGGAGGGGCTGCCTTAGGGGGTGGCCCACAGATCCCTCCAAGCCTGGTTCTGTGGGGGTCCCATCCCTGCCCTGAGCTCCCAGCAGCCCCCAGGCCTTCAGTCTCCAGAAGAGGCCAGCCAAGGGATGAGGGTGGATACATGAGAAGGTCTAAGATAGGTACCATGGTTCTTCCTAAGAGGAAGTTAAAGGATAGCTTGGAGAGGGGGATGTTAGATTTCTGGATCAAGTTGGGGCGGGGAGTCCCCAGGGCTAAGTGATGCCAAGGGTGTCTTCTAACATCAGGAACAAGAGGGAAAGACTCACCAGTAGCTAAGCAGGAGCTCATGTGGACTGAAGAGAAAACAAAGACATTAGAGCCAAGGACTGGGTGAGGGACTCTGGCAAAAAATAAATCGGCAAAGGAGGAGGAGGGGCCTGCAGCAGCGGGAAGTGGGGCACAGCAATGCGGGCCAGCAGATATAAATGCACCTGGCTCAGGGCTGCTCTGCACTTCAGCAGGGAAGGAGGCTTCAATCGTTCTTCCATTCAAAGGCTGTGTGGCTCGGAAATTCAGCTGTAGCCGAGAATCATGAGGTCCCCACAGGGAGCCAGATAGGATGTGGAGCTAGGGAAAGCAACAGATAGTGCAGGTGCGCTCCAGGCTTAAAAGGAAACAAAAGGGCCCAACAAAAGCTCACAGCTAGCATCACCCTCCACCTCCCCCACTCCTTCCATGGACTCTGGATGGTCTCACCCATCCTAGGTCCTCCATTCCTTTTGCCCTCTGGGTTCATGCCATGCACCAGCCTTACCTGCCTAGCACTTAACCTCACTGTCTGGTTGAACACAGTCCAGATGACCCCCTGGGAGCAGGGGGGTGTGGTCAAGGACCCCTCATATTGGAAGTAGCGGCTAAGGTCAGAGGGTAACAGTGCAGAAACATCTAGGCCTGGGATCCAAATCTCTGAGCCTGTGGAGAGGACCTGTGATTCCAGCAAGGCTGCTTACCCTGGAAGCTGTAAGGTATAGATTCAGTTTTTACCTCCCTGAAGCTGAGTGAACTACCTGAGAGCACTCTTCCACAGTGTGTGGTCCTTTCCCTTAACTGCAGAAGATGCAGCTCAAAAGCAAGTGTCCTTGGACGATGAGAGGCCTCCCAGTGAGGAAAGCACCCTTTAAACCCTCACCCTGAGTTTTCACTCTTATTTTACACACTATCATAACATGCTAGACTACTGACTTAAGCCCAAAACTAGTTTAAAAGGAAAAATGGGCTTTGGGGTGCATAGTTCAGTGGTAGAGTACTTGCCTAGCAAGCTTGAGGTCCTGGTTTTGATCCCAACATGTGCTGGGGCAAGAAAAATGGTTTGAAGGTTGGGCATGATGATGCTTGCCTTTGATCTCAGCACCTGGCAGTCTGAAGCAGGAGGATCACTGCAAGTTTGAGGCCAGTCTGGGCTATAAAGTGAGTTCAAGGCCAACCTGAACTGCATAGCAAAACCCCATCTCAAAAAAACAAACAAACAAACAAACAAACAAACAAAAAAAAAAACCAAAAAAACTAAACTAAACTAAACTAAAAACGAATTAAGTAGCTTGCAAATAAGTTTAATGTTTGTAACTATAAATGTTAGTTTTTTTCATGATGCAGTAAAGAGCTAGGAAAGATAAAAGCCTTTATGAACTCCAAAGACATGGAGGGATGGAGGGCAGATGGGGCAGATCATCTGGCCTGAGACACAGAGAACTGGGGCTTCTATGGACTTATGCTAGGAGTAGAGTTTGAGAGGCAGTTTGAATTACGTGTAAGGAGCTGGTTGAGGTCTCTCCTGTGTGTGCAGGAAAGATAGAGGAAACTGCACCCAGGGCTGGACTGGGGAAGGAGGAGGACGTGGTCATTAGGAAGATAAGCTGTTGTTTTAAGGGCTTCAGCCATGTTAGATGGCCACCATAATAGTTCAGCAATTCATACTAGGGCCAGAACTTGTCAACAAAAAAAACACAAAGATGGGGCTGGGGAGATAGCTCAGTCGAATAAGTGCATGCCTGGCAAGCGCAAGGGCCTGAGTTCAATACCCAGCTCTGCCAAAAAAACAAACCAAAACAAAACAACAACAACAACAAAAAAAAACCCACAAAGATTCCAAAGGCAAAGTTCCTTCAGTTTAGAAAAAAAAGACCTAAAGGACCAGTAGAGTAAGGTTTAAAATGACCAAGAATGCCAGGCATGGTGGCACATACCTTAATCTTAGCACGCAGGAGGCTGAGGCAAGAGGATAGCAGATAATTTGGGGCTACCCTGAGCTACATAGTAAGGTCAAGGACAGCCTGCACTACAAAGTGAGGTCACACACAGAGAAAGATCCAGAGGGACTGAGAATGGAAAGATCTTTCTTTCTTTCTTTCTTTCTTTCTTTCTTTCTTTCTTTCTTTCTTTCTTTCTTT